TGTTGGAGAAAACTGAAAGAAATTGAAGAGATCTCAAACTTTCATTCCCAGTAAGGTAAATGTACCAGTATTCGTAGTGACCTAGTGTTCGTCACAATCGAACAATTCATGAATCACTTCTTTCCACTGGAGAAAGAGAATACTTTTGTTGTGCCAGTTCCGGAAAATGAGCCAATAACATCGTCTCCGAGAAAGAATGGAAAGTCTTTTCATCTTCCATTCCACTTTGCGGTTACGTAAATTACAGCATTTCACATTGCATCATCACTGAAGGTCATCAATTCAAAAATTGTTTTATGATCTCATTGTATTTTCAATAAACCGTTTTGGTTCACTCTGTATGGATAAATATTCGGATGAGTATACTGTTGGATACACAATCGAAAGAACTTTCGAATGAGGTGTCACATGTCCACTGCATTTTTGAAAGATCGTCAATTATGTTATTACTTCAATACCGGTGACGTGAAATTTCTCATATTAATATTATGAGATGAGCTTCAAAAATTGAGACTCCATGTTTTTGTATTCATTTCAAGTCGCCTATTTCTGAAATAAGAAAAGAAAAAAATAGTGTATTATACACGCGAAGCTACGCGACGGGAGACAACACAATCTCGGGCTAAATTCTATACTACTTTTTTCCCTTGTATAATGAATAACTATTTTTCTATACATTCGCATCATACCTCATGTTCTTATGGAAAATTCTATGTTTTCTTCAAGCTGCTAAAGTCTTGCTAATAATAACTATTTCAAATATCTATCTTGGGAAGTTCATCAGGATAAATCGAAGGATAAAGCTTCTTCAGTGGTGGTCAGTCCTTGAGTTTAGGACAATGTATATTCTGATTAGGAAATTAAATAAACGTTGGTGAATATTCAACGAAGGTGTCGAGTATTAGGTTTATCATTTGGATGCGTTTCCGAAGTTTGTAGCATTTGAATTTGCTACAAGATAATATTAGCTATTCATTTTGATGTAACTTATCAAATTACAGTAGAGTAGCACTGTGGTGTGCTAAGATTTGTTTTTATTTTTCTTTGGTGTAATAAACATAGTCTTCAAATTCTTACCTTATGAATTTGAGAAGAAACCATACTCACAGTGAACATTCAGTCTGACCTATAGTAAATAATCCTTGAGTAGTAGAACATTTAATGAAACAACCATATCATATCACACACAGTTTTGAATGAGATCTTTTAACAAACAAATTCCAATAGCAGAGTACTCATTTCTTCTGATATTCTATGTGCTAATAGGAGGTGATGATGTAAGCTGCAGGAGTCTTTGATTTCTGGCGTTCTGATCCTAAGGCCCTAGAATCGAAGAAAATATTTAATATTGTAATCCATTCAAAAGTAGACAGACAACTTACCGTTGATGTTCTCCAGGGCGATAAATCCTATTTCGCTGGAATATCTCAGGATTTATGATGTTGTTCATTCTGAATTGGTTTCAATTTGGATAAATTTCTTTGTTTATTTTTGGGATAATATTTCAGGTTATATTTTCATGTGTCATCAGGATGTCACTGTCACTGTTGTCATACTGCAGTCATTGTGGACTGTCATTTGTCTTCTGTGAAGGATTTGGAGATTATTCCTATGAAGACAGAAGAAGAAGAACAATTCTTCTAAATAATTAGGGCGTAAGCATTTCTTCGACCAATAGGATTCTTGGATTTCATATTTGGCGCTGATTTGGGATTTTAACAGGAAACTAGGGTTTTTGACTAGTTAAATCGAGGGTAGGAGAATTTCCGGCACGTACCTACCTCACTTTTTCTCGGTTAGCCATGGTGGCGTGCACTTGACCTGTGAAAAGTAATTTTGATTTTCTCAGTGAAAACCGTAGAAACCCTTAGGGGTATTTGATATTGGAAGCCGTTGCTTACCGGTTAGTGGATGGAATCTCCGTCAGGAAGCCAATTGTGGGATTTGTTCCTGGAGACTGCCATGAAGTTTTAGAAGCCATGCAGCCCGGCCTGTTTCAGTCCTTAAAAAGCAAGATCTAAAAAAGTCTTCAATCCTACCTCCCTTCTCAGAAGGTAAGTCACAGCCATAGCAGATTCAGCAGTGAAATCTTCGAAAATATATCCTGTTCTTCAGTTTTTTTCTGTTGTCTCCACGTGCTCTGTGTGTCCTCTCAGGAGGCTATATTCAGATTATTTCTTAGGGTGCTAGGGTGCAGCTTAGCTGTGCTTCGGACTCCTGGTAGCGACCGGCCCTCAGGATACTCTACTCTACCCTTGTCAAGATCCCCCAGTGGATCTGAGTAATCCTGCAAGGTCTTCGGATCTTGGCCAGAGTCGACCATGGAGACACCAGTTGGAGCCCAGTAGCAGCTGGTAGAGACTGACCCCTGGTTATACTGCATCCTGGAACTCTGCTGACCGTGGAGGTTCAGCATTCCTCGTTGTGTTGTCTTCACCTGCAGTGACCTATGCTGCACATCTACAATCATACCACTTGGGACCTTGGATAGGGGTGATCTGGACCATTGCAGAGGACCCTTGGACCACAATCAGGTTTTTTGTTCCACCTTCAGTGTTTCACATTTTGCTACATATATTATACATATAAATTTCACATCTGAGACTGGTTGAGTAATCACCTTTTTTTACAGTATTAATTCACAAACTGGTGAAGCTCTTGTGAAGCTCTCCCATAGTATACTATGTGACTGCGGTTGCTTAACAGTTCATTGCACTATCATTCCTTGACTAGTTATACAGTCCGTTTTATAGTTGATATAGGATTGTTACTATACTTATTTTCACTTATTCTAAAAATATGGTAATTGTCCTGGTATAGGTAGGAAAATTATGATAGAATCACAATGCAATTTACTTAACCCACACTATTGAAATAATACAGTACTTTAGTGATCATTTTTCATCATGAAACTGCAGGCCTCTACATAGGTCCATATATAACCTTGTCTCTGGTGGTGTGAAATATAATAGGTCTTGAATTTTATGTTGGTTTTCATTCTTCCATATGTCCAGCCCAGCCTTCTAAGAAAATATACCTTGAACAACTTTCAGATTTTTGAAAAACAGATTATTTGGAAAGAAATTTGGTTTTCTCAATTATCCAAATTGTAGGATTTTTATAAATTGAGTGGCGTCCAAGAACTTGAATTTTCTTCACCATCTAGCCTATAATTCGAACTCACTTATCTGTTCTCCGATGTACAGCTGCCGATAGCAAATGTGTTTGACTTTTTAATAATTCCATCCTTTTATATTAAAAGTTGGCCACATAAATGGCGCCCAACGTGGGGCCCGAAAATTCTTGTTCAAAATAAGTAAAATTTTGTCTGTTTGTTGTAAAACCTTTTTCAAATTTTTCTTGAGTTTTTTCAAATTTTCTTAGATTGTTGAGCTGGTATGTTTGGTTGAGTGGAGACTATACATTTAGGTCCATGTGGATGTGGATGTGAAGTATAGCTCCGTTTTTGACAGAAGCCTGACAGGAAAGTTTTTCAACAGAAAAGGCTTTAGTATTTTTTGTGCTGGGGAGCACTGCGGTGAGTGTTGTCTAATTGTGTTGTAATAAAGTACATATTTTGGAGCAGTGATTGCAACTTTAAATAGTAATGAAAATTTCCATCATGATTGATAATTTCTGGTAACTATTTTGACAGATATTTTTCATGGGAATTTTTAGAAAATTTTTGTGACTGCAGTACTTGGGTATTTCATCTGTTTTCTTTGTTCTTCCTTCACACTATTCATTATGGATTCTATTAAGGCAAAACATTTGCTCATAGCAGAACTTAATTATGAACTGAAAATTAGAGGTGTTATTTCTGAACGTAGCATGGATGAAAAGAGAAAAATTTTGGGGCGCCTCTTGGCTAAAGAAATTCAACAAGGACAAAATGTATTGTCTTTTGTTGACCCAACATTTAATTTTGCATCTGAGAAAGTTGACATTGAAAACACTTTGACATCTATACAAACTTTAATCAGTGATTTTGAGGGACCAACATCAGATTCTACTTTCAAGAGAGCAGAATCTAGAATATGCCATGTAACTTGGAGAATTCAAAGAATACCTTTGAATCCAGAAGCTCTTGTGAAGCTCTCCCATAGTATACTATGTGACTGCGGTTGCTTAACAGTTCATTGCGCTATCATTCCTTGACTAGTTATACAGTCCGTTTTATAGTTGATATAGGATTGTTACTATACTTATTTTCACTTATTCTAAAAATATGGTAATTGTCCTGGTATAGGTAGGAAAATTATGATAGAATCACCATGCAATTTACTTAACCTACACTATTGAAATAATACGGTACTTTAGTGATTATTTTTCATCATGAAACTGCAGGCCTCTACATAGGTCCATATATAACCTTGTCTCTGGTGGTGTGAAATATAATAGGTCTTGAATTTTATGTTGGTTTTCATTCTTCCATATGTCCAGCCCAGCCTTCTAAGAAAATATACCTTGAACAACTTTCACATTTTTGAAAAACAGATTATTTGGAAAGAAATTTGGTTTTCTCAATTATCCAAATTGTAGGATTTTTATAAATTGAGTGGCGTCCAAGAACTTGAATTTTCTTCACCATCTAGCCTATAATTCGAACTCACTTATCTGTTCTCCGATGTACAGCTGCCGATAGCAAATGTGTTTGACTTTTTAATATTTCCATCCTTTTATATTAAAAGTTGGACACAAGTTATCTGGATATTGTTTCCATAAAAGTAACTTTGAAGAATCTCATCTCATTGATAATCAATTTTTGATCGATCAATGATTACTCTGAAATATAATTGATGCGTCCTGAAATCGAATTGACTTTTATATAATATATTTGATACTTCCTGGAATCTTGACCTTACATAACCTGACTATTCAAAAACAGAATTGATGCTTTCTGGAATTGAAGTTATTTTCATGAATTACAGTTGCTGCTTCCTAGTATATGTTCCTAGTCTATTGAATGATACAGTTAATTTCAATATCATCGCACTTACGGAATTGAATCTGCTGCAGTTCAAGCTCTCCACTTCCACGTGGCTCGACTGCCCTTTCACGTCAAACACCAAGGGATAGTCGAAGGTCGGATCGCTTGCCCTCAGTCGGTAGATGACGGACCCGGCGGCCGCGTCTGCCGGCACTAGGATATCTCTGAGGACGGCTGATGGATCGAAACGCGGCACCGATGCTACCAAAAAAGGTCCGTACACGAGGAGAAGCCAGTGCATAATAGTGTGGAGGAGCCGCGGCGTGGAGTTCTTCACACGCGATCCTGGAAAAGTCCAATCAATTATTCGTGAAGGGTCGAGACGAATTTGTACGGAATTTTGAGAATGTTATATGGCGTGCCTGAAAAAGCTATGGGTCAAGCTCGAAAATGATCCTTCACGAATTTCTTGGGTAGAATATGTATGGTGGCTTTAGGACTTCACACTCTGCTTAACCAGGAATTTTGTCATTGGACAGATATAAAAACAAATTCTTTTCATATTCCTATATTGAGTTTTATGTATTTCTGAGTGTACAGAATCTACTCGACAGTTGCAGTGTCACTGGTCAAATTCCTGAATGTTGATCAATTAATTCCAGTACATGTACGTATGTACTGAAAGAGATATGGTTCCTATCCTTAGGAAACCGTTGCTTCTGTATGAAAGAGCATCCAAAATATATAATAGTTTTTCTCTTGATTCTCATCAGTTGAGATGTATTTAAATATTCAGGTGTACCTACAAGCGAAAATAATCTCCGACTTCCAATCTGGAGGCATTACGCAGTTGAACAAAATATGCAGCAGCTTTATCACTGCAGCAATTCGAAATCGCAGATTCATCTCAATTTTGCCACAACGCGATTCAACATGATGATATCGTGTTGCTGCAACTCAGTAATAACACATTTTTCTCTCGTAGGGGCATGTCAGGAACGCTTTTGAATGATGGTTGTTGAAACAATAGAATAAAAAATCGATTGGAAGAAGATCGAAAAAACTACAGAAATCAGTACAATAGTCCTGTTCAATCACACAATAAAGCGACTAATGAAAAGTGATGTTGAGTCAGAGGCATTGTCGAAAATCACAGTACCAGGCACATGACAAAAACTATATTCACATAAGTATAAATACTCCGACGATATTATCACCTAATTACTCGACTGTAATAACTACACGAATATACCATTACTGTAATTCAACGGCTCTTCCCTACTCCTGATAGTTACAATTCACATCAATAACGTTTTGGAATGAGTTTGGGATGATGTTGATCACGTTGATGAAACTCTGTTCCCCAACAAGCCATTTCTTCGAGTTCATGAATGCAACGACTGTTTTTTGAAAATTGGTTGAAAGAGTTTTCTCTCGTGATAACGCTTGGGATGCGTCCGTCTTCAGTAAGGATATGTTCAGCTTGTTTCGATTTGTCGATGTTTCTTTTCTTCATATTGTACATATATCCTTACTGAAGACGAACAACATATGGCAGAGTGGAATAATATTAAAATCATTGGAAAAGATGATAACAACCAAAAGAGAAAAATCAAGGAATCTGCTTGCATTCTTCTGAACGGAGACAATAGTATTGCTTCTTGTTCAGTAGATATAGATAGAACATGGTATTCACTACTGAAAATGGTAACTTTAAGATTAAATAATAAAAACATCCTGTACCTCATTTGATTGCCAACGTCACCAATTGTCACTGAGAACTGAAAAGTTTCAAGACAGATACGAATTTGCTATTCAAATAACCACTTTTTATGTTACAAACGGGAGCAGACTCGTTCCCGAAATGTCCAAAGCTAAGTGAAAATCAGATATTTCATCCATATACCTTCATTTCTCTTCTCCAAACCTTGTTTAATACAAATTGTCACTGACAAGCTAGTGAATTTTTTTTTATGCTCTCTGATAGGAAAATTCTTTAAACGCGGTGAGATTTTGGGGCAAATCATCTGATTTGTCCTTACTACACGTATATTGAAATAATATTCATATTTTTATTGTATAGAAACGAGGAGAAAATCCCAAAAAATCTGGAATAATGTATGTATCACCTCCTCGATTAACCTACAGACAGTATTCAATAATACAATTGATTGAACATAGGATCACAAGAAAAAATCAAGATAATTTGACTGAAAACATAGAATATTCAATCAGATTTCACAGTAAATGTTCAAAATGTCCTCCGTTTTCGCGAATAGGTACACAATCCTATCCTTTTTTCTCAATGATGTATTATTCTTCTCAGAGGCTGAGGATCAATAGTGAAGGTATTCAAGTAATGTTCAAATTTTTGTAGCATAGTTTTTTTCACGACCAAACTGTGAATCCATGTTTTTAATTCATTTCGATGTCATTCTTGTGATTCATTTTTCAATTAACAACATCTACATCAAAAATATGCTATTGTTTTTGGGCTTTGGGTGGAACAGGGAGTCTAACCTCAAATTTTCATTTTAATTCCTGAATTTTTTTATTAGTGTCATTCGATAGTACACGTCAAGGTTTCTCAGTGTTTGAAATATTTGCCATTCTGCTATCTGGAATGTTACTCCTACACTATACTGTAATATAGAAGATCTGCCAGCATCTCGATTCGAAAAAAATGAGATGAAAATAATATTAATGAAGTGACACCTATGTTGAGCCTTACACAACTGGTGTTATCCATGATCAAATTATATGTGTTTCGTTATGGCTATGGCCATAGATTGAAAATGGCCAAGTCCATGTTGATCACCCTACTTGAAGAATGTGACATTGCTTAAAATTTTCTGGGAACATGTACCTTAACCGTTGACATATACTCATTATCTGACCTCGTAATATTAGGTAGGTACCTTCCTATTTGTTCAGCACGATGATTCATTTCATTATAATTCTACATATTATATATTCGAAATCAGGATGAATTGAGTAATCCAAATCTATCAGAATATACGGTGCATTCCATTTGAAAATAATATATTCTTTTGTACACCCTGTATATTTGAAGAGATATTGCATCATTGTAAATATGAGTGATATCTGTATGAAAAACTGTATAAAATCAGCCTCACTTTTTTTGCAATGAGTGTGAAACAAAAGAGATAAAAGGGGGTTCACATTAATAAAACTAGCCCTGTACAGGGTGCGCAAAATTGGGCGTTTTCACGGGCTATCTCAATAACTGAAGGAGTTATCGAAAAACCGAAGAACATGTTACGGGTCCGATTTTGAAGAAACCCAAAATGACCCATTCGGAATTTTGATATATTCATTCGTTTCAGAGATACAGGGGGAAATTGAAAAATAGCCAATTTCGTTTTTATATTCTGAGAGCTTTATGGTGAGGAATATCGGAAATTTTTGGGAATTTATTCATATAGTATGATGCGAAAAATCCATTGGCACCATTGAAAATTCCATACAGGGTGACATTAAAAAGATACGGCATCCAATTATATTTTTTCTGATGGAACACCCCGTATATTTAGGCACAGTCAGATAGTCCCAGGTGTTCAAATCACAGAAATATATATAATTTCACCTTCTTCTTCCACAACTTCAGGAATATTCGCAATTATATATTCAGCGTGTCACATTTTTCATGGTTACACCTTCGTATCTTCTGCAATAATCATTGAGGTTGGATTCATAAACTCGCAACTGTGAGAAAGAAGCCAATGATACACTCGAGGACCTTGGGGAAACAGAATCAGTGATAACACTGCGTTCGCCAGCAGCTATGGAATCACCGAGATTTCTGGAAAATGCTAACAAGAAGAATATAGGTTGGAAATGACAATATGTTTATATTAACCAAAGGAGGAAAATGGATATCATTGAGAATTCGTTTCAAATATTTTATTTCCAGACAAATGAATATTTAATGAAAAAAAGAAATTATTTGATTTGATATCATTGTTATCAATACATTCAAACTATTTAAGATACTGTTGTGTCTTGAGATGATAGACTAATTATTATGTAGTGCTCTTTTTATATAGATTTATTCAGTTGGTTAGCAACAGCTAGAAATAATTTCTATAGTTACAAGTTCTTTGTTTTGGTAACTTAGAAATATAATAAACAGTCCGATTTGAAAAATCTGAAACGAAGTTGTATTTGAATTTGTCGCTCATTCTCAATACAACAGATAAGATGGTGTGCCTACGCGCATATTATGTGACGTCATCTGGGATACCAATATCAGCTGCTAGTCACAGACAGATACTGTTGCCATGGGCGTGCGCGATGAATTCAATCATGTTCATTGAAATTTCTATAAGTTTTTGATCTGTTTAGAAATAACTCAATTTATATAAACAGGTACCTATTCCTTCGATTTCACTATTTCATTGATTCTGGAAATTGAGATCTTGAGGTAATTCGCAATCGCAAATAGCAAATTGCCAATCCTATCTGAATGATCCACTACTGTGTCGATTCTGACAGATCAAAATTCAGCAGTTAACGACGTTGACGTTGCTTCTGCTCCGACATCGACAACAGGAGTATACATTTTTGCCGTTTTGTTATTCAAATCTTTGCTGCAATTTATATCTTGTGAGAAATTAGGAGTTTTGAATTCATTTTCAATTATTTATGACTTGATATTCGGAAGATGTTCTGTAGGAATGGCATCTTGTTTCAAATATTTGTGATTTTTTGGAGGTGTGTTATTCAAGAACCGTACTTTCGCACTTGGGAACATTTTGCATGGAAATGTTTTTAAGAAATACGTGCTGTAATATGAATGTGATGATATTATGATAGGTGTATACTTTGGAATGGGGATATAAGGAATCAAAGATATGTACCATAATTTGAGTTTATATTCTGTCGGCAGCAAGCTCCCATCGTTTCATTGGGTCTCCATTCTTGGAAAAGCAGAAAAATTCAATATCTGTGCCTTTTGTATGTTAGTTGGAATGTCCATAACCAGAAACGAAACAAGTAGGCATGTCGAAATTATTTCATTCAATTTTAGTACTTATATAATATCTGAAGTTCGAGACATCAATCACGAAAACAAATAATAACAATAATGACAGTTATATCCCAGCTGACGTCATGCGCAGAACAAGACGAGTTTGAGCTTTCTGTTGAGCACACCATATTCTCCTTCCACTATGCAACAGATACAGAAATAATACAAATGATAATTCACCTAATTAGCAAATTATAGTAAGTGACGTTGGGAAATATAGCTCTATCGTTCTTCCGTTCTAGCCTAAGCAAACTTGACATCGTTATCTTACAGAATAATACACTGCGTTAGTAAACTTCATGGGTGTCACTTTTTGGAATGCTGAAATAACGTCTTCACGCAGTTCTTCAGCATTTTGGTGATCTCGACGAAATAAAGGTTTTTTAGAAATCCTCCTTTGGTTAATATATAAAGAGTGTCATTTTCAACCGATATTCTTCCTCTTGATAGCATTTTCCAGAAATGTCGGTGATTCAATAGCTGATGGCGAGCAATGTTATCACTGGAGTGATTCCCCCTAGGTCATCGAGTGTATCATTGGCATCTCTCTCACAGTTACGAATTCACAAATCCAACCTCAATGATTATTGCGGAAGATACGGAGGTGTAACCATGACACACTGAATATATTTTTGCGAATATTTCTGAAATTGTGGAAGAAAAAGGTAGAGTTATGTAAATTTGAGATTGGAACGCCTGGGACTTTCTTACTGTGCCATATATACGGGGTGTTGCATGAGAAAAAATATAATTGGCTGCCGTATCTTTTTAATGTCACTCACTCACTGTATAAAATTTCTAATGATTCCAATGGATTGTTTGCATCATAGTATATGAATGAAATTCCGAAATTTTCCAATATACCCGACCATGAAGTACTCAGAAAATAAAATCGAAATCAGCAATTTTTCAATTTCCATCTGTATGTCTGAAATGAATGAAGATATCAAAATTCTGAATGCGTCATTTCGGATTTCCCTAAAATCGAACCCGTAACATGTATATCGGTTTTTTGATAACTCCTCTAGTTATTGAGATAGCCTGTGAAAACGCCCAATTTTGCCCACCCTGTAAATCACATGCTGCAAACCTCAATCACGTTTGAAACATAAAAATCAAACAACTCTGTCATTTTCCGCAACCGTGGATGGCTGATGCTAAAGAAATGGAAAGTAAAATTCTTCAGTGTGTCAATGATAGCTGAGCTACAGAGTTAGCATGAAATTTACCCATTTTGCGTTCATTGCATGATTGAGCTAATAACGCGATAACACACATAATTCGTTTCCTATCTGAATTTGTCATCTAAATATTCGTTATGCAGGTTAAATAACATCGAAATACGTTTTTGTAGAGGGTGTTAAACCCCAAAGGAAATCAGGACGGCAGTGATTCATGTCATTCGCCAACCCTTGGACTGTAATTATTTTGATATTACCTACGTATTATAATGTTTGGTAAAATCCCCTAACGCAAGAGATATCCTCAATAGACTTTGTGTAAGTAGTGTTTGTATTGTATTATGAATGTTGCCAAGAATAACCTCCGTTATAAATAGGTAACTACAATGTTTTCATATGAGTTGATAATTTCTGATACATTTGACTCGATATTTTTGTCCATTATAGTATTGTGGAGGTCTGCACACCACTTTGTTTGAAAAATAGTGTTAACGTGAGTACTCATACAGATCTGAATGAGCAGCAGGCCACCCAGTAACAAACCTGCGACCAGACTAGGAGGCTTTGACAGTTTTGACAGTGTGGCACAATTCTGTTCGAGACAATGAATATATGAGAAGATCACTGTCAGCTGCAGTTAATTTACAAGAATAGTGTTCAAAAGTCTATTTAATATTCGAGAAAGTGTATAACCCAGGTCCTAACAGTCCATTGTCGATCCACAAATCCTTACAAATAGAACTTGCACAATAACTGGATGGTTTATTATTATGTGCTCGAAGAAATTGATGTAGGCATCATAGCAATTTCCATTGTTATAAATGGTACACATACTGAGTGCACATTTTGTATTCCATTGGAAAAAGTGGTGGAAATTTTTTTATTCCATTGGAAAACTGGTGCATATATACAGTTTTGAACTCTTCAACAATTTTGGCACGAGCTATTGAGGTAGGAGGTCGTCCTAAGTTGATGCACTATTATTGTAAATATGGCGGGTGTATCAAATATTGTGACAGACGAGAGATTGTAGGTAGCATTTTTGTTTATGAGAAAGTTCCTATGTATATACTGGATGATTTTCCAAGGTGGCTCACCCCTGTAACTTTTTTATCATTGAATGTAGGAGGACAAATATTGGGGGTTGTGAATGATAGTTCAATTGACATTCTTTGACATATCTATTCGCTTTGCCGTACTTCCGGTTTGAATGAAAATGACACTAACTTTCGATTTTTAAATGGGACACCCTGTATTCAAATCCATCATCGGTAAGGGGTTATATCATAACGAATTCAACGATGTTAGGTTCGATAGAGTTATTTCAAAAGATTACGAAGTTATTTGCATTCGAAATTGCCATATTGATGAGTGTTACAGATAATATGAGCATATAGAAACTTCGGATGCAAATATTTTCATAATCGTTTGAAATAACCCTATCAAACCCGGTATCGTTGAAATCGCTATGATGATCCCTAACCGATTATGGAATGGAAAACGTTTAAAAATCAAAAGTTTTAGTAATTTCCGGTAAAACCGGAAGTACGGCAAAGCATCAAGTAGATATGTCCAAAAATGCCAAACGAACTATAATTCCCAACCTCCAAATTTCGTTTTACTACATTTATAAATAGAGAAAATGGAGGTAACCACCTTGGAAAATCACCCAGTATACTATCAATGCCGAACATAACAGCTTCAATGTTCTCACTCAGGCAATTGGGTATTCAGGGAAGAAGAATTCGCAATCAGTATTGGTTTCTCCGAGTCGCTATAGATTTCAGGTGGATGCGATTCCTATGTCTGTGTGGCATTAGCCAAGTGAGAAATTCATTTACTACTCGTTTTCTATCATTTTCAATCGATTTTTTCCAGTGGAAAGGACTTTCACTTTTTTTGGCCTTTCCACTCTGAGAAGGTGGCTTTCCGCATTTATCATCACGTTGAAAATTCAATCTGAACTTATTGTATATCGTTATATAGATAGTATTTTGATAAATAATAATTTGACAAATATAAAACAACAGCTGGTGCTCAATAAGTTCCACGTGATTGACTAATTTATGAGTAGTGATATAACTATAGTGACATCAACTGAATACTCGATGATGTTTGGTAAATATATGCACAAATGCATTTTGTTCATCTCGTCTTATTGTTCAATGAGTTTTACATTTGTTTAACTGTATAATGTATATAGCTATAGTTTAAAATATGTAGTGTAATGTAAATATACCTTCTATATCTTGACTTCATTCTTCTAGGTACAAACAAAACTTGTAAAGAGGCTTTTTTCGAATATTTTGTGTTCATTCCATAAAACGTCATTCTATTATTCATCAGGCCCCGATCCAAGAGATGGCAGAGTTGTTTGCCCCATCACTTCGATCAAAGTGTCACCTCATTGCTAGAATAATGAATAATTCTTGAATTTCATAACGCCTTCTGAAATAAAACGCTGAAAAATATGTTGACCCAAGATATCTTGAATGAATAAATGAGAGCTTTGAAAAAAATCTCAAGAATTTTTGTTATATTATACACAAAATGTGTTCGACTATACTATAGCACTATAGCTTTTGAAATTTTTTTAATGTTCAATTCAAACGACGTGACGCGACGGGACGCGATTTTAAGACGATTTCGAGCGAAGCGATGCGATGCGACTGTGTTGTCCTATATACTCCGCGCCTTATGTTTCTGCTTGTACGAATTTGTTCGGAGGTACGAATTGTGCTAAATTCATGCGAATGAAATGGGGGCTGAAAATATCGCAATGAAGTTGAAATATTCGAACTTTTTTATGAATTCGGATAAAATAATAACCACACAGTATGCATACAATATGTTGTTTTCATTTTGATGACCTCAAAATTGGGAAATTAGGGAGCGGACAGCAGAGGCAGGAAAATACTAGACTAGACACTAGATAACAGGTTCACATTCATAATAATTATGGAATCAATTATTCCTTCATTTAATTGAATTTATTACGCAGGATGGATTATATGGTCCAGACGAAAAAAAAAAGTAGTAGTGTTCGAAGCATTCTTGAATGCCGCAAAATTTATGGGGATTATTAAGCCCCGTTCGAGAAATGATAATGACCCCTTATAAAAATTCTAATTACTTTCGTGTAACTTCTATCAATGGGAGGACCAGAAATAGAGGAATTATATATGACAAGAAAACCCTTACCTCCTGCAAATTTTGTGGCAAATTCTGTTGAAAATTTCATATTCTGCGATTCGCATAAATTTTGAAAAATTCCTACAAGTATGAATATACCTTCACGCGGAGTCCTACGTGGGCGAACTCTATGGGAACGCAAAGCAAAGCGACACGATGCGACGCGAAGCGATTTTGACGCAATGCCAAGCGAAGTGATGCGATGCGGCTGTACTGTCCTACATACTCCGCGCCATTCCCGAATTTGCAATTCCGTAATGACAGGACATATGTGTTTTTTACTTGTAAACTCATATCCCAAATACAAATTCCTGGAGAAATATCAGTGTCAAAGAAGTCAAAATGATATTATTTATTCACAAAGACAGGAGCAAGGAGTATTTCATCAACATTGCGCGAAATTATCAATCCATTTGATCGCGTCGCTTCGCCAATTGCCGCGTGTTTTGTCGCTTGTCGCGTGCATTCGTTCACATAGGACATTTCGATATTTTTCGTGGTTTAACATTTTCGCGTCGAATCGCGACACGATATAGCACACGCCGACGTAGGGCACCGCGTGAGTATGCCACCCCAAGCCACCGCCGCTCGTTCCGCCATCTTAAAAAAATGGCGCCCGAAATTAGCTGTTGACGTGAAACTTCATTCCTGTAGTTTCAATAAATAAAAATTCTCATTAATAGATGTGGATGATTTGTTTTAATGATAGTTTCCGAGTTATGAAACTGAGAAGTAGAAGGAAATATTGAAGTTGCAAAAAAGTTGTCCCTGATATATGTCCAAAATCATCTATAAATCAAAAGTATCGTGGTATATTTCGATAGTATATTGGGAAATTCCTTGTGAATTATTTGAAAAGAAATTCTAAACGCATTTGTATAAGTTTCATAGGAATATTCGATATATAGATAATATTTTGATTTTAGAAATATTCAGTGTTGTCTATGCAGGGTGTTTTCATCTTCCTAATAGGATGTGAAATGTAACAAAATAACTGATTTCAACAATCTAACAGTTCATCAAAATTGTTGATCTTCAGCGGCTAGGATGCCTGGCCATTTCAGCGGTGATATGCTCTCTGAACTTGAACCTTTATTTCCATTCCCATCGTCTTGAAGAAGTAGGAGACCAGGATGGTTTGCTACAGATCATTAGAAAAACCCTATTCCCATAAACCAACAATCCCGGATGGAGACAGTCAATCCCGAAAGTATGCTACAATCTTTCAGTCGTAAATTTGCGATATTGAATTTTCTGCAAAAGAGTTGACCTACTTACAGACTTCTAGTTGATGAATACATCAGACAGCTGAGCTACTTTCCTAGCATCAAGGTCCAGCAAGACAAACTACGATTGAATTGAACTACAGTGAATCCTTAGAGTGCCTTGGTACTGATACTAGATTCACCTTGCAATGTGTTGTGTAAATCGATTGGAAAGCTCGTGTATTTCAACATTCGTTTGAATATTTGTCAATTCAAAGTATCTGACAAATATAGCGGATGTTCCGGATATGTAAGTTATATGAATTCTCCCCCACTATTGGAAGGCTAGGATAGTTATGACGACATGAAATACTCAACAAAACTTCTAAAACATAATTTCAATCTGAAATCTACAATCTTCACTGATTATTCGGAACACGTCTATCCAAAACATAATCCTCGAGGTGACCTGGTGATCGCAGAATGACCAGTTAGGGTTCAAAGCCCAAAACACTGCAGCCTTTGGACCTATTGTATTCCTGATCATACTGTTGACTCAGGTGAACAGGTTCGCTTAATGAGGTTTAGCAGCCTCTTCACCAAATATTTCGTTGAAGAAACCTCATGTGAGTTTAGCGCTCTCAGAAGGTTTTAT